TCAACGGCCCACTACAAGTCAACAGTGATAGACAGAGGCTCTGCGTGCAGATTTGCGGCGTCCCTGGCACTGGGTGATTTTTCTATGAATTATTTTAAATAAAATTGCATTTTCGAAATGACGCTCTATGCGCGAAGCCACAGCGCTGCGACACCATCGACGGAGGCATGTTGATGATGCCGAACTTGGCGATGATCTTTTGCGTAAACCGACGCTGCGAGAAAAGGAGACGCTTGCCGGAATCGTAGTCGATCTCAACACCGAGAAGGTGGCGGACGTCGCCAAGCTGCGTCATCTTGAATTTGGCGAGGAGCGCCTGAATTACCGGCTTCGAGTACTTGCCGTCGCCGAGGATGAGCAGATCGTCGACGTACACAGTGACGAAAACGACGTCGCGGAAGTACTTTCCTCCCTCAGGTTTCGTCTAGTGGCCGCGATCCTTCTCGTTGCGTTTGGAGCCGAGGCTCACAAGGAACTCATACAACATCGAGTTCCACTCGTGAGGCACTTGACGCAGGCGTTAGATCGTAGGCACACCAAGCGTTGGACGTTCTTAGCGAAGCCTTCCGGCTGCTCCGTGTAGACGAGTCAACCCCTATTGAGCGCAGCGTTGAGAAACGCCGTGACGAAATCGTTCTGGCGCAGCTTCCGTCCACGAAGGTCGCGTGGAGCAGGATGGCGCGCAAGGTCTCGAAGCGGATGATCGGCGCGTACGTCTCGTCGAAGTCGAGGCCAAAGATTTGCTCGAGCTTGAACAACCGATGGCAGTTGAGCACCTTGCGTTCCACCTGGCGCGGAATCGGGCGCGGGGCGAAACGCGATGGCTTCCTTGAACGACTGCAGCACATCAATCTCCTTCTCGCCGTCGTCCGCAAGAAGCACGAACCGGTCCGGCATGGTGCACTCATTCCAGCGCTCGTCCGGCAATCCGTACGGGGCCTGCACCGCGCGCACCTTGTCCATCAACACGTAGTTGAACTTCTCAACGAGCGCGACCTCTTGCGGCGTGAGCTGCTGCGTGATACAACTGGAGCAGAGCACAAAATCGTCAAATTGTGGAACATCTTGTCGTCGTCGCTCGACATGACCACGATCTTTTCGTTGTTCGCAATATGGAGCATCTTGACACACGTCGCAAGCGTCTTCGTCGCATTGCCCTCCCGAGCAATTGGCTTGACCCAGACGAAGTGCGAGCCTTATCGCGAAGGTAGCACGTGTGCTGTTCTCAAGACTCAATGCTCGAGACGAAGTCAATGTCGTCTTTCGAAGCGCGATCGTCGTACGTTCTGACTTCGTGTTGTATGACATGCGCTTGTGCTTGACGAGAGTGCACGATTAGCACGCGGCAGACGACTTGAGGCCTTGCCGCGGGAGCCACATGCTGTTTGCTACACCACCCTTCGCCAAGGACTTCCACGCTCACATGCGCGAGACGGTTGAGCCAAAGACAGAGTTGGCTGTCTTGGAGCACACCTCGTGGCCCGCAAAGACAGGCTCGACCGGGCCAACGTGCGAGCACACACGCATGGCGTAAAGCCCACGACGTAAATGAAAGGTGAGCTTCATCTCCGTGCTGCGCAACGCCCGACGTTGTTGACTCGTCGTGGTCGAGGACGTGGCCGTGGTGGTCACGGTGGTCAAGGGGCAACAGCAGTCGTGGTGCCAACAGTTCTCGGTGCTACAACTCTGCGTCGTGGCAATGGTGGCCGCGGACGCAGTCGTTGCGATCGTAATGGATGGACCAACGGCGCATGTGCAGTATATCGACGCTCCCGTGCTCTCGGCCGACGCTCGCGACGTGAATGCGCGGCCGTGACACAGGCAGCAAAATGCGCGTAGCCAGCCGGGTCCAGCGTTGGATCTGGCGCCACAAGCTCGCCAGAAACGAGCAGCCACAGCGACAATACAGTACGACAAGTATTCACCAGACGAACCTGAGCCGACTTGCCACGCATTTTAGGCGGCATCGCAGCTGGAAGAAGCTGGAAGAAGCCCCGGCACAATCGCGGGCGTCGGCGCTTGTTCTTGCACACAAGTACTGGTCCAACGGGCAATCGCGCGGGCTCTTTAACAAAGAGCTGACGCCACGACGACCGGGTGCCCCGGCGCCACACGAGACTCTAGCACTGGTCGTGGCACAGCTGCTTGCTCAAATACGGAAGCCACGATCGCTCGCGAACGCCCCGGAGCGCACACCGTCGCACCACCGTGCGTCGGAGCCAGCAGCTCTCCAGCTCATTCAAGCCTTCAAGGCCAATGCGGGCAATCGAAGCGAGTCGGTCAATGATCGCGAGCATGAACTCGTTGGACTGCTACGCGACAGCGCAGCGCTGGCTTCGAAGACGAGACGCATCAACCGCACATTCTCCTGTATGGCGCATAAGCGCCCGTCACAGCGTGGCGACATGGCAGTTGTGCCGCTATCGTCCATGAGAGGCGACATGCCCTTGCGTCGACCGAGTCAAGAGCACATTCTTCTTGAGCGCCGCCGGCATGGGCGCAGGCAGGACCGTGGCATCTTGGGCTTCGGCGGCGCGACGACCGTCTTTGGCTTGGGCAGCACGACTAGCGATTGGATGACCGGCGCTTTGGCCTTGGCCTGGTTCGTAGCCGGCCCGTCGTCGACGTCGTCCGTCCGTGCGGCGCCTTCTTGGACGTGGGAGCCGCGGCCGGCTCGGAGACGTTGTTCTTGTTCTGTTCTGTTACCGGCTTTGTTTTCTTCGTCGTTTGCGCCGTCAGGATAGCGAAAGCAGGCGGTTTCACGCGAGGTGGCACCACTGCGGTCTCGCGACCGACGCCTGGACCGCACCCGTTTCCAGCCGGTCGATGATGTCGGTGACGTGCACCCGCATACGAAGGACTGGCAATTTCTCGACCATGTGCTCCGCGTGCGGCTCCGGCGTGCAAAAGATCCTCCGCGAGTTCAACCTCGCCGTGTCCTCACAGCTTGTCTTCGTCACAGACAATGGTTCCAACATATGGGAAGCCAAGGTCTGCCGTCGCAATACACGCGGCTCGCACGTCTCGACCACCGCCTCAGCACGGCCATTACCACTGTGCTCAACAAGACATGGTCCATGGGATCAAAAACACGGCGTACGCATACGTGACTCGCATCCCGGCGGTCTTCACCCTCATCGACGCGTGCAAGAATCTCGTCCGGCATGAAGCAAGCGCGCCATCAAGATCGTCTTACTACGACGCTCATGCAAGAGAACTCGACGCGATGGAGATGACTGCTGCGCTGCCTCAAGAGCGTTCACATGAGCTTTGACGATGTCGCGTCAATTTGCCAGTCGCGTCGTCGATCTGGACTCGCCGATTGCCACGGAGCTACTCGCGGAAGGTATCAAGCTGCCGAGCCCTTTCAGCAGTCGACTTTGCCCTCGGAAACGTTTCAGTTGCCGACGCTGCCAAGGCGCTCTACTGGTACACAAAGCTCCGCTGGCATTTGAAGGCAACATCGACGACAGCGATGTCGTCGCCAGCATCTTGGCCGAGGTTCTCGAGGAGAAGATGCACCTCGACCTGTGGCACTACGTCGGCGCCTACGGCGATCGAAGACTTCGAGGTCTTTGCTTGGTGGAAGGCCCGCAACGATCTATCAGTGCTCAAGAAGGTCGCGCGCAGTGTGTTTACGATTCCAACTTCCAGCGCAGTTAAGCTTTTCCGAAAGCGGCAACACGGTGTCCAAGCAGCGCGACCGTCTCGCCTCGAGCATGGTAGACGACGTTTTGTTCTTCTGCTCGCTCAAGAAGTAGATAATTTGCATGAAGCCAAATTTGATTCTCGATCCCTCGACCTCGGAAGTGACAAGGGCAAGCATGCCTTCTAAGCCAAGTGACAGATACTAGTATTCGTCAACGTAGTGATTGCGCGTATGCCGCTGGTACACGAACAACCGCTATGGTCCAACTCATTTCTCTCGGTTGATACTTCATGTATTCATGTCCTTGCCAATAATGCACTCAAGTAAATCCAAGTAGAATGTCGATTAGCGAGTTACAGTGCTAGCCAAGCGGTCACACAGCTTACTGGTACAGTACCGGTGCACCTTGCGGGGCAATGCTGGCGGGCTGAGTACAGCGTCGTCGGACCATGAGGTGAGGTCGATAACGTCAGCTGGCGTTGTCGCCGTTTGCGTCGAGACGACGGCGGGCTTCTTCCGCTTGCGCGTCAATAAGGTTGGTTCTGCTTGCTGCGCGGGCGGAGGTGGTGATGGGCGCGGCGACGGCGCTTCACCATTGGCATCGTGCCAAGCTGTCCATAACGGGTACTTGATCTGGAAATGGCGCACGACGCTCTGTAGCACCTTCAATCTAGAGAAACATTAGTGACGCGGACGCCAATGGAGAATTTCAGTACCGCGCCGCCCAACGCGCTGCCTGACCGCGGGTGAGCGAGTTGGCCAAAACAATGGCGCCCGTGTCGCGACGTACGCTGCCCGTGTCCCCGAAGACGAAGTCGCGGAGCACTTCCTGGATGCTGCCGGGCTGGTCCGTCATTGCCTCACCAGCCATGGCGTCGACGATGCGCCGCACGATGCAGTTGACGTCGCGCTGATGATTGCGGCAGGCTTGTGCGTCACGCTTCCTAGACACAGAATTTGCCGAGTTGAGCGACAAGGAGAGCGACAATTGGTACGAAAAATGTGGCATCTGAAACCACAATTGCCGCAGTTTACGTACCGATCGTCTCTCTTGTCGATCAACTCGTCAAATTCTGTGAGGGCTGTCACATCTTGGCCCTACGTGGCAGAGGACACGATGGCGTCATAAACGCGTCCTTCGGCGCGTGTATCCGTGGGCCGAACCTCCATCTCGAGGTGCGCGAGAACGGACTTGATGGTCTCGGCCGTCGGGGCGCCGGGTAGATAGCAGCACAAGAGGAACCCAGGGATGTCGACCACTTTCGTCGCGCTTGAGAACAAGGTGTCCATGAGAAGGGGCTTGATCGCTGCCTCGTCAGCGTCGGCAACGGTCGACGCACTGTCGCGGGCGATGTCGAGGATGTCGCGCTCGATCGCGAACGCTAAGCGCTCTCGCTTGGTGTGCCGTCCGTCTCTCTCGAGCGATGGCAAGTCGCTCATCGCGCGACCTGAATCAATGGTATGGGTGTTGCACCAATTGGCTCTGGCGGCTCGGCCTCGTCGTCACTGCGCATCTTTTGTTATGCACCCATGCTTTGCACGCACAGGAGTGTGGGATCGTCTGGACTTGGTTGCGATGCAAGGTGCGGTTGACGACGGCGCTCGCTGCAGACTGCAACTTATCGCACTGCGCGCGACCGAGGCGATGGCAGCTGCAGCTCGAGTAGGATGGGACTCTGTTCAGCGCCAAGATTCCAGTCGTCTGGTCCGACCCTCAGGTTCGAGCCTTGGCGCTTCCTGGGGCTCCATGATGATCTTGCCGTCGGTCGTGTCACGAAAGGATGAATCACCCGTTACAACAGTCGATATCACTTATTCTGCGTTTTTCCAGCCATTCCGCAAGCGAAACCAACCGACGAGTGGCCGCGTCCTCAGAGGCGCGGCCGTCGGTCATTCAGGCCGCGGCAGAAGGAGGCTTCGTCAGTCGACGCCTTCGCCTGCTGCGAGCCGCGCCATCAGATCAAGCGACGCTGAGCGATGAGGAACTCATCGCCACGCTGTACAAGACGACGTATCCGAGGAAGACGACGACATGCTCCAGCCAGCCAGCAACAAAAACAACGGTCAGGGGGACCACAAGCAACATCAGATCCAACACAGAACCAACATGAGCACATAGCAAAGAGCACAGAGCACAGAGCACAGAGCACAAATCAGCCAGCCGCCGCCGCCACCGCCAACGCCATTAGCCATCGACCTTCAGCAGCAAGATCCATATCATCGACCCCGAAACCCAAGACATCGACCCAAACAAAGAAACCGAATCCATCGCGCCACGCCGCCAAAATGAAAACAAATGCATCCAGCCAACTGCCCAGCTCCACGCCTCCAGAACGAAAACACAAGTCAACAAGCCCAGCGCCAAAACGAAAACACTTT